AATACAGTTGTCCCTTGATAATCCGACAGGTATGGGACCAAAGGTGTGTCAGATTACCAAAAGTGTCCGGATTACCGAAAATAATTACATATTTCGCATTGTTTTGCTAGCAGTAACTTACAATATTCTCTACTCCAACTGTTCGAACAGAACTGCTCACATAAAACACACGAAATGTGTGTCATCGTGTAAAAATTGGATGGGGAGATTCACATCGCGACATGCTTCTGTGCAAGCAGACGTAACGGGGACGGGTACCTTGACGGGAGGTGCATCGCACTACTGAGCATGTCGGATTAAAAAACGTCGGACTATAGAGGGACAACTGTATTTATTAACTTCATTACTTAAATATTTTACTTAGATTAAATTATGACTGATAGAATTATAATTTATGTAGTACAAGGACAAACTCTTTTAATTATTAAATTCTATATTTATATAAAAATTGTTCTTGTAATAAATTCCATTAAATAAGAAATGTTGTCATCAGATTAAAGTTTATTTGACACTATATAAGAAATTTTTACAAACTGAAAATTTATGTTAATTTAGAATCATTTTTTCTTCCAGATGATTTTAAATTATTTAATAAATTATTAAAATTATAATTACTAATTTAGATAAGACATGGTGCCTAACTTCTGCCTTTAGTAGCAAATTATTTAGTATTAATCATTAAAATAGCAGATTTATGACCCTATTATTTAAGGTGATTGTTTGGTTATTTATGTATATATACTATATATATATATATATATATTTATCAGGCTTCAAAATGTTTGATATACTTATATTATACTAATATGCATATTAATGTCAACAGCAATGTCCAATTAACCGTTGAATTCATCTGGTTGTGGTTGATCTTATATGGATAACAATGCAACAACTTTCTCAGTAACTTCCACACATTTTGCAATAGGATGCACCCAACTATCATGATGTGCACTACTGAGTTCGTAACATTTTTCATTGAATATTCAACAACAGTTTCAATGACTTGTGAAGTGATAGGTTTGTGCTCTTGGACAGAGTGAATTCCCAAATATTTAGTTTTCCTCAAATCAAGTGATTGTTATTTTGAGAACTTATGGAGTCAATGGGTCATTGGAATAGATTCTCACAACATCATAATTTCCAAAATATAACTTCAGCCTTGCTGTTTTCCATAAAGAAGATTCACAAGAAATATATGTTCCTGCAAGAGAAGATAGCAAGATAGACATCATAGCTGATAAAAAATGATTCAACAGTTGTGATGACTTTTATACCCAGAACTTGGTGCAACATATAAATTGAATACTTTTGCAAAAGAAACTGCTTTTTTTTTGCTTGCAGTACTGAAAATATTGTGGTCACTTTTGTTATTAATTTTTTTTTATAGAAGTGTCTTCTGCATGTTTTGAAGTGTCCCATACCAAATTGGTTGCAGCTGGATTGCTAAATATCTCTTTATTGCTGAATATGAGTAGTTCAATTATGATAAATCGATATATTTAAAACTTTCATTATATAAACTCAGTTCTTTAATTTTGTTGTTATGAATCTGGCAGTTTATAAATCTTGGGAGCATTTTTAGATTTCCAATTAGAAAAGCTTTTTCTGATTATTTCATTTATGCATGATTAAGTTGAATTTTATTATACACAAAATTAAATATTTATTTACGATATAAAGTTTGAACTTGTGGAGTTTTTATATGTTTTGAATTTTATTACAGTAATTTTTAAAGAAATGTATAATATATATTAAAATCTTATAGATTTATTTTACTGGGTGATTTGGAAAGTAATTTCGTTTTTTTTTCCATGGGAAAAAAAACAATATTTTTATAATAAATAAATATTTTATTGAATTATATATCAACCATTTGGTCAAATACCTGTTGTCATCATTTCTGGTAGTAGCATGATTTCACATTCATAAAAGTTTTGATTATTGCTTACAAAAAAACCAATCCAAGTGATTTTTGACATTGTCATTTCAAGTAAATGTCTTACAGTTAAAAAAAATTTGTATAGACCTGAACAAGTAATAATCTGAGTGTGCTCGATCTGGAGAATATGGTTGGTGTGATAGCACATCCCATGTAAGTTACAACAGTTTCTGACGAGTTATCAAACTTGTGTGAAAATTGACATTATTGTAAATTACCTAACTTCACTGCCTGTAACTGGTGTTCTTCTCCAATACGAAGGACTTTGCAAATGTTTTCGAATCTAATGTGGTTCTTCATTCTGTAGCACCTGAAGAAGAACTACATTAGGTTCGAAAACGTTTGCAAAGTCCTTCGTATTGGAGAAGAACACCGGTTACAGGCAGTGAGTTAGGTAATTTATCAATTTCAGTGTTATAATTTCTATATAGTTGACATTATTGTAATTATTAAAACACTACACCTGTTTTGTTGATCAATTCTGGCTGCCTTTTCTATTTGATGATATTATTCAATTTGTTTACTCGATGGCAGTACACTTTTGAATCAATTGTTAAATTGTCTGGTAAAAGCTCAAAAAAAAATTCCTTAAAATCCCACCAAAGAACATGTAGAACCCATATATCGAGCTTTGAAACAAAACTAATTTTTTTCAAGTAATCATAAACAGTTCAATTTGACAAATTTAATCTCTTAGTGATTTCACGTGTTGTTCTTCGGCAGTTTGCTTCAATCAGTACCTTTATTTTGTTTTCATTGACTTCAACTGGCCATCCAGAACGTGGTACATCTTCAATATTGAAATTGCCAGAATGAAATTTTGTAAATTAGTTTTGGCACTGTCGTTCTGTCAATACATCTTCTCCATATACATCACACAAATTTTTTCTTGCTTGAACAGCATTCTTACCTTTTCAGTAATAAAAGAGCAAAATATGCTGAAAATGCTGCTTTCAATCTTCCATATTTGATGGGACACAAAAAATAAACAATTGCACAAAATCAAACAAAATTTTTTACAAATAAGCCTTAAAATGCTAGCTGTCAAAATATATAATGACTAGCAGACTCAGCCACGCGTTGTTTTGGCTCAAAATGTATCTATTATAAATGTATAACGCTTCCCCTGTGGGGGGGAATTTTTTGAAAAATCCCTTCTTAGTATACATTTTCTTGATGTACCCTATTAAAACGCAATCAAAACCACATCTAAAATAGTATAATAGAAGCCAAGTTCTTCATGGTAAGCCTTAATCCTGTCCATCTCCCCCAGTGGGGGAAATTTCAACATGTATATTATATGAAAATATGTGTGTATTTGAATGCAACATTGTGTCAAAATTTTAAAGGAATTAGTAGGAACAAATGAATGTTACATTTTTATTTATATAGATAGATAGAAGATGATCTGCTTTACTTCATCTTCACAGAAAGGCAAACTTAGGTCTTCATACTTGTGGAGTTAGCGCCATCTATTGGACATAGCCTTAGCCCTAGATGATATGTTTTAATTTATATGAATGTTTAACATAATAATATACAGCCTATGTCCACCCTGAAGGTCCATTCTAAATATTGTTGAAAGAATTTTTGAAATCGGATGAGTAGTTTCGGAGATTACCTCCTACATCCAAACTTACAAACTTTACCTTTTTATAATATTAGTATAGATAATATGGTTTAGAATGAAAATGACAGGAAAAATACGACTAATCCATCTAATGGTAAAAAAACGAAATTACTTTCTGAACAACCCAATATTTAAATAATCATAATTAAAAATTCTTTTTGTTATAATTTTGTAGAATTATGCAAGCTTGTTGTGATATAACTTTTGAGTATGTTCATGATAGAAAACAATTTGGTAAAAGAATTGGTGAATTTCAGGTATGTTTTAAAAATAGTTATTGTTAAATAAATAAAATTTTTTGAAGTTATTAAAAATTTGTGTTTTTCAGATATTAATCTGAACATTTTTACTTTTTTCTTATTTATTATTATTATACATCACTAAAGCCAAATAATTAAAATTCTGAAATATCTAAATATCTTAAGAAATTAAATTTTTTTCTTCAACAATTAATTATTCAGTTTAATTAATGTTATCTTGTACATCAATGCTGCTTTGTGTTTTTTATCTTTTTCCTGTTAGTTATACAAAAATACAATCAAAATAATTAATGTGCTTTCTCACCACACCGGGTTGTATATACTTCACAACTATCTACAATTAACCAGTAACCGGTGCGAAATTCTTTAAAATCGGCAAACGTTTTCGATTCCCCTCCTGGGATCTTCTTCAGGCTTACTTTTTTATATCTTTCGTTATAACTGGATTCTTTAATTCGAATGTTTTTAAAAAATATGGAACGTGCATTTTTCGAAAAAATTTCCGAAAGTGAAAGGAATCCACGTGTTATTTCAAATATAATTTTCTACCAATGGGGATTCATTGTGTGCAAAACCTCATAAAATTTATCTTATAAAATATATTATGATTTATCGTCAATTAAAAATTGCCATGCTGCAGAGAGATTTATTTCCTCTTTGAAATTAATGCATGCGGATTAATTTCATCATGGATCTCGCATAACCAAAAAGAATACTACAGATAGTTAGCATCAATTAAGATCGGTACCGCGAAAGAATCTAAGGAGGTTATAAAGATGAAACATAAATTGAATAGAGCTTCCAAGTGGATAAAGAGTAATGACATTGTTTTGACCAGAGCGGATAAATCCAAAGTAATGGTGTTAATGAAAAGAGAGACGTATGAGAAAGGATTAATTGAATACCTCTTATTAACTCAGTGCTCAGAAATGGAAACAAGCTGGGTAGATAAGATGCAAGCAAGAATTAAACGATTTGCTAATACGAAACTAGCCAAGAGCATGGGTATGAGGAACATAATTATAGATGCTCCAGACATGCCGAAGCTGTTCGCCTTTGCTAAGACGCATAAGCAAGGGCAACAACTCAGACCTATAGTAGACAAAGGGAGAGCTCCCACTATTAAGTTAGAAAAGTTAATACATAACAGGCTATCTGCACACTTGAAAGATTACCAGTTCAAGATAGAAAGTCCAATGGAGCTTTTAAAAGAACTTAAGAAGATAGACACTCCAGATTGCGCAACGGTATTGGATTTTAGATCCTTATACCCATCAATAAAAATTCAACCATGTTTTTGTGCGCTCAGGGACTTCCTTCTCTCTAGCATAGAGGACACCGCATTGCACCACGATATACTCAAGTTAGCGCATCTGGCTTGTTACAATTCCGTATTCCAATTCAAGAACACCATATACAAGCAAGGAAGAGGAGTGCCAATGGGAAGTCCATTATCTGGAGATTTATGCGAAATGGTAATCAGGATATTAGAAAGCAAAGTCCTTCCCTCCTTTCTCCCAAATATCAGCCTGTACAGAAGATATATCGACGATATAATTATCCTTTGAAAAGCTGAGCCGGATATAGATCAGTTTATGGAATCAATGAACAACAACCCATATGGCCTCGTAGTGGAACTGGAACAACAGAGTAAGGATAAAGTACACTTCTTGGATATAGTCATAGATATGAAAGAAAGGGTGGTACAAACTTATGTATACAGAAAACCTACAGCGATATCAACGTATATACCTTATGAATCTTGTGACCCATTTTCTTATAAGATAGCGGCGTTTAGAGCATTAGTAGAAAGAGCATATACGCATTCTTCCACCTCCCAAGCCCTCCAACAAGAATTGAATTACATTAGGAAGATTGCTAAATTTAGGAAGATTGCTAAATAGCATGGTTACAGCAATATTATAAAAGGATTATGTAAGCAGCACTGGCGTTTGCAGAATCGTGTAGAAGAAAAGGTAGAGGTACTAAATAATGGAAATGAAGATAGCGTAGAGAGGGTACCAATAACGTATAACCCGCATCTAAAGGCAATGTACGAAAAAATTGCAAAAATAAAAGGAATTAAGATTGCATACAAAAGAAACCCAACCATTTACAGTTTATTAAGGAACGGGAAGGACAATTCAGACCCAAATAGGCTTCCAGGGATATACAGTATTCCATTAAAAGATAACAGATGGGATAGGCCTTTAGTGTATATCGGATCAACCAAGCATTCATTGTCCACAAGATTAAAATAGCATAAATCAGACATTGAACATAATAAATGTACGACGGCCCTATCTACGTATGCGACAAACCTGGGCATCACACCTTTCTTCAATGAAGCGCATGTTATTTGTACCACCCAACACCATAGACAACTAAGAACTTTGGAGGCAGTGGAAATCTTTAAAGCCGATCGCAAATCCGCATACATTAATTTCAAAGAGGAAATAAATCTCTCTGCAGCATGGCAATTTTTAATTGACGATAAATCATAATATATTTTATAAGATAAATTTTATGAGGTATTGCACACAACGAATCCCCATTGGTCGAAAATTATATTTGAAATAACACGTGGATTCCTTTCACTTTCAGAAATTTTTTCGAAAAATGCACGTTCCATATTTTTTAAAAACATTCGAATTAAAGAATCCAGTTATAACGAAAGATATAAAAAAGTAAGCCTGAAGAAGATCCCAGGAGAGGAATCGAAAACGTTTGCCAATTTTAAAGAATTTCGCACCGGTTACTGGTTACTGGTTACTGGTTACTGGTTACAATTACTGGTTAATTGTAGATAGTTGTGAAGTACAATCAAAATATATTGGAATAAATGTGTTTTGGAATGTTTGTTCCATATGAAAAAATATCTTTAAAAACTCAACTGAAAATTACTCGCACAGTAGAAATGTAAATACAGTAATACACAAGTGTTACACATTTCCTGATTTCTCTCATTTCTATATTTAGACTAATTTCATATGCTGTTTTATAAATTTTGCATAAATGTATCTAATGAGTTAATTTTAAGTTTTATATATGCAACAAGACTTATTTATTGGTCTTTTTTCATTAAAACATTGTATTATTTTTAATATAACTTAAAATTAAATTGGATAAATCATGATTATACTTTAATTTTTTATTTTATTTTAATATTTCAGCAATTTAGTGCTGAAATATTAAAATATTTACTTCTTTTACTGACAATTGCAGATAATTTTTAAAACAAGTAAAACGGCAAAACCATGTTTGGGACAAGACAATGTCTTGGAGACTCACTACAAAGCGGAATCACTTTGATGCTCAAGGCGGGTCTCATTCTCATTCTCCAATCTTCTTTGGTATTGCTGCTTTTGGGCATGATCATTCAAACTTCGCTGATGATGCATTTTTGATGAAATTAACCTATCCAATTTTGAAATTTCTCTCTGTTGCGTGTCAGCCCAGCTTGAATTTTTGTCGATGCATAATAAAAATTTCCCATTTTTTAAAAAAATAATCCTGGCTATTGTATCATCCGAAATTATTTATTTTATTATGCACAAACAATATACAGTTTAATCCGATTATAATGTCATCGGATGTAATGACAACCTTAATATAATGTCAAATTTTTATTGGTTCCATGATTTTACTATACTAGATAATGTTAAAAAAAAACCCACTTGTAACAACATAAAATCGTTTTAACATCATATTTGAAGCACTCCCAAATTTACAAAATTAGATTACAAATTTTATTAACATAGAAGAAACTACGTGTTCAGTCCTAAGGTCAGAGTTCACTTTTTAGAATGACTGTGGGTGGTACTCTTTCCCACCTGACTTCAGTGGGGTGAGGTGCCTGTTTTGCCTGTTTGTAGAAGAGGGTCACCGTTTTGTATTTTATTTTGACTCAGTTCTCGGTTCCCTGACTACCTACAAGTCTGGATTTTTTTATGCGCAAATGATTTGGGCACCTAATACTCTGTGCCAAATATTAACTCTCGACATGTACTCTTACATACATGTATGCTGGTAACATAAACCAGCAGTACGATTTTATAAACAAGACATAGTCTTGTCAATTACAGGTTAATTTTTACATCTTTGTATAAAAATTATATTTTAAATATAAATTTTAAAATCAGTGTTAATTGTTTGTGAAGTATTATTATATAGAACAAAATTCAAAAGCAAAATTTAAATAAAATAGAACTAGTTAAATTCAGGCTGGTAGTTACATGTATAAAAGAATGTTGAACCAATCATCAGCATGAATTTAATGAATTATGTTTTATTTACACTCTTCAAAAATGAATTTGAAACATTACGAAGGAATGTGTATAGCCACAGACATTACTGGTAATTGTAGACATATGCAAATGATCAAAAGAACAAATAAATATGTGCAACAGACACCTGTTTATTCAGTAACAAATATGGCCCCATGGGCATCTATACAGGCCATTATATGGCAAGGCAATGAGGCAATTAATTAATAGTTGCCCCCTTACCCCATGTCAAATTGCATCCGTTGTGACATGCATGTCATCTATGGTGTGTGCTGGTGGTTCCCAGCACATCTCATGTTAAACAAGGTCCTATGGGTATTTGATGAGAGAGAGAGATCTGGTAAGGCTGCTGGTCAAGGAAGGATGTGCATTCCATTCAGGCTGATGAGAATTTAGTGTGTGATGTGCAGTTGGGCATTGTCTTGCTGGAACCCCATGTTGAGTGTGACCTGCACCTGTGGTCAAACCACATGTTCCACAATTTGTGTGATATACTGGCCTGCTGTCAGAGTACTGGAAATGTGCACCAGCTATTTACTGATTGAACATGATTCCTCCCCAAACCATGATTCCCAGTGTGGGGACCAGTGTAATGCTTAGCATAAAGGACTGGCACATGGTATTCTCTGGGATATCGCCAACTCATTTAAGGCTATCATTCCCCAATATATAGAAGCAAGATTCATGGTTGAAGTGATGATAACACCACACCAAGTGTGCAGCCCTGTGTTGAGCAGTTAATGGCACCCCTATTGCTAGTTGCCACACATGTATTCTGACTTCATGCAACCTGTTACAAATGGTTTGAGTGGACACAGATGCATCTGTTGATGGCAGCAAGTGGCTTTGGATGTCACATGCCATAGTGAATGGGTCCTGATGAGCTGTTTGGTGAATATGCCAGTCTGTATGCTCTGAAGTGTACTGGTGCTATCTAATCATCTTTGGTGTGTTTGTAGATGTTCTTGTGTCCATTGTGTCACATGCTGCTGGATGGTTCTCCTGTTGTGCCAAACACGTGTTATAATTGTGTGAATCAACAAACTGAGGTTACATAGCTTCAGGATATACATATCATTCCTCAGCTGTTAAGTAGGTAATTGGCTTGCTATCATCCCTGAGGTATTTCTAAGCTTCTTCAGAAGTTTTGCTGCTGCAAACCATCACTGATAGCATTTACAGCCCAAGTCTGCTACTGGTATTTATAGCCCAAAGCTGGATACCACATAACCTGATGTTTATGCAAACTTAATCATTTGCATGTCTCTGTCACCGCTACTGGTCCTGAAATTTGCATGTGGCTATGTGCATTCCTTTGTAGTGTTGCAATTTCACTTTTCAGGAGTGTAAATTTTGTTTTTGAATTTTGTTCTGTATAACTAAGTAATATAAAACCTTCAACACTTTTTCTAGCAATTTTCTTTAATCAAACTAATGTTTTCGGCTATATTTAATGGCCTTCCTCAGGTTCGACAATATTTGGAACATCGGATATTTGAAAATTTGTTTTCATTCTGATGACGTCATAGTTTTTACAAAAAAGTTTTTTCTTTTAACAAAATTCCTTTTAAATTACAATTATTAAACATACATGGTGGGGACCTCTGTGAATTAGCAGTTAAAAAATTGGAAACTTCAGCTCAGAAATTATATTATACACATGTTATGTCGATGATGTTCTTATTATCTGAAGATCTAAGCCAGATACAGATAGAATATTGCAGGCCATCAATAACAATGCATTTGGGCTTACGTTAAAATTAGATCAAGGAGGTGATAAGATAGCCCATTTCCTTGACCTCCAGATACATCTGGGAAATGGTTGAATAGCTACAAAAGTATACCATAAGCCTAACCTACAATCTTTCTTTATCCCCTCAACATCCAACAACCCATATATATTTATAAAATAGCAGCATACAGGGCTCTGGTTCGAAGAGCCTTTACCCATTTCTCTAACATCAAGAACACATTACAAGAAATACAATGCATAAAACACATTGCCATAGCCCACGGTTACAACAGTAAGCTAATAGAAAGGCTAGCTTGCAAAATACAAGGCAACCTAGAAACAGAAGCCATAAATTCTAGATCTCTAGAACAGCAAAGAAAACGCATAGTAGTTGATTTTGACCCTAGAATGAGCCAAACCTATAAAATCATAGCCAAGAAGGTCAAAGCAGATCTATCCTACAAATGTAACCCTTCAATACATAAACTTCTTGCCAATACCAAAGATAAATGCAGTGAAGCCAGAAAACCTGGAATATATTCGGTACAACTGTATGACAACAGATTTATTAGGAGCAAAAAGTTAATATACGTAGGTTCAACCAACAGATCATAGATCATTAACAAAAAGGATAGCAGTAAGTATGATACGCAGAACAAGAAGATTAGTACCACCCTAGCCCAATATGCAAGCATGCCAGGTATAACAGCTAAATGGGATGAAGCTAAGATTATAATACCAATACTCGATAACAGCAAGCTAAGAACAATAAAAACACTGGAAATCTTTGCAAAATCCCTCAAAGAAAATTGCATCAACAGCAGAGATGCAGACTCGCTGTCTATGGCCTGGCAATCACTCATTGACAATCCCCTAAAGGAAATGGGCTGCTAACCCATCTATTTCACACAATATGTGACATTACAATCCTACAAATTTATAAATATTTTAATCCTATCAGTAATAGCCATTCTCTGTAATTCGTTATCCATTTACATATTTATTAATTAATTGTGTTTAAAAAATTTTGTAAAAACATTGACATTATAGGTATGAAAACAAATTAATGCATAACTCTAATTTGTTATCCATTTACATTTATTAATTAATTGTGTTTAAATTTTTTCTATTTCCATATATGTTTAATGATTGTAATTTAAAAGGAATTTTGTTAAAAGAAAAGAAAAACTTTTTTGTAAAAACTATGACGTCATCAGAACAAAAACAAATTTTCAAATATCTGACGTTCCAAATATTGTCAAACCTGAGGAAGGCCATTAAATATAGCCGAAAACATTAGTTTGATTAAAGAAAATTGCTAGAAAAAGTGTCAAAGGTTTTATATTACTTATTTACAAAAGTTCTAGCTTTCTGTGCATAGAGTTCTGTATAACAGGGATGGCCAACATGTAGACCACGGTCGACCGGTCGACTGCAAAGGTTTTGAAAGTAGGCCGCGAAGACTTAAATTAATGTTTAAAAATCTTAATTTGATAAATTATTCTTACAATATTAGACTGTCTGTGCAACATACCCATACTGTTTGTATTTATCCCGATGAACAATGCAAATGAATGTTAACGCATGCACATATAAAAATCCTAAAATTGTTTGCCCATATTCATAGTCGCCTGCAGACTATATTTTACCAAAAAAGTAGCCCCTAAGGGATAAAAGTTTGATCACACCTGCTGTATAACATTCCATGACCTGAAGATGCCTGTTAAAGACATTTGAAAACATTTGTTCTTATAATAAATTGGTTTATATTAATGATGCACTTGGAACCAATTATGGTGTGATAACAAAAATAACAGGGGGAGGGGGAAACCAAACATTTTCAAACCCCATCTGGGCTTTGCATCAGGTTCTTAACCATTATTCGTTTATGGACTAAATGTTCCATGGGCATCAGAATACAAGAACATCAGGTGGATATTCATCATGCAAGAACCTCCACGGGCCAATCTCATCATTGTCACGTCTCACAAATGTGGATATCCTCTAACCATTTGAGGTGTACTGTACATCAAATGGTTAGAGGATATCCACATTTTCAAATCCAGCCTCACAGTTACATGCATAAATTTTAAAGAGGAGATGGTTTTGTCATTGGCCTGGCAAGAGATGATTCACAACTTGCTCTATCCACTTGTTGTGTGCAGGCAGGCTGACCCATTGCGCATGCACAACATGGCTTTTTGTAAAGTTTTTTCGAACTTATAATATCAAACTCTTGTTTAAACATTATTCCATAAACAAATAACCATCTAGGAATGATTAAGAACCTGATGCAGAATCAGATAACCAGATGAGGTTCAAAAACTTTTTTTTTTTTTGTTATTATACTGTAATTTAATTGGTTCTGAGTGCATTATTGTCATTAATCCAGTGTGGTGAGTGGTTATTTGGTTTATATTAACTGGAAAATAAGGTGTTGGTGCTTTTAAAGTATTTAATTTAAAAAATCTTAATAATCCTTTCCTTTCTCTTACAGCTGCCTTTTTTAGCCTCAATTTGAGGGCAGATGTTAATGAACTTCTCTAAGAATAAAAAAGTGCCAAAAATTATAAAAAATAGGACTGTTTAAATTCAGTTTATATATCAATTAAAAAAATCTATAAATTTATAATATTTAGGAATAAATTTAATAAATTTATACTTTTGTAGTAGATTCATACATTGGCATTCATAAATGGACAAACAAGACATTTGCCCATTGGGATTGATAAAAAATTCCACAATTTATAATTCTAAAAGTGATTGAGATATGTATTCTTACATCCTTAGCCAAGGGATGCTTTGATNAAAAGAATTGGTGAATGAACTGCATGTGCAAGGAATGAATAATTATAGTGCTTAATTGATTGATAGAGATAAATTTATAATATTTAGGAATAAATTTAATAAATTTATACTTTTGTAGTAGATTCATACATTGGCATTCATAAATGGACAAACAAGACATTTGCCCATTGGGATTGATAAAAAATTCCACAATTTATAATTCTAAAAGTGATTGAGATATGTATTCTTACATCCTTAGCCAAGGGATGCTTTGATGCAATACTGTGTTTTATAATCTACTTATGAAAAAAATCCAAAAAAATTAAATAATTAAATAAAAATTTATTGATGTAATTGTTTGTCTCCAAGCTTTGCCCTCTCCCTTGGAAAATTTTCTGCTGTTGCCCATTAGATTATACAGAAATGTATTTAAGTAGTAAAACAATTTTTAATATTATAACAGTTTATTATTGAATAATATATTTCTTTCAGTTAATCCAAGGAAAATTGGCTGACATGTACACAACTCTGAATGCTTGTCGAGCTTACTTGTATAATGTTGCAAGAGCAGTAGATAAAGGTCATGTCAGTTCCAAGGTAAATGTTTTCTTGTAAAAATTTGAATATAACATACATAAATTAAACAATTACAGTGAGAATATATTTTTTGTAAATTAATTTTAATATGTTTAATATGAAATTTCCAATAAAGAAGGTTACAGATTTAACTGAAGTTTCTTTCAGTAAATTTCTGCTTAGTATATCTGAATATATATTAATTTTAAAAGATATAACCAAAAATTACTTAAAAATAAAAATAACTGGAAATTATTATGCAAATTAAGAATTACTAGAATATTTTAAATTTGCAATATGAAAATAGGTAGATGCAGTAGAATGTAATATACAGTTGAATCCACTTAAGCGAATACTCTCAGAATCACTGCTTTATGCCTCCTCATCCAAAGTAACAAGATTACCCAGAGGATTGTTAATGGTCATCAATGTGCAGCGACAATTTTCAAAAAGGATCAGATGTGAGAAAACCTATTTTTCATACATTATAACAATTATTTAAACACTGGGAAGAAAATTCATTTCATCTCACATTATTGACACATTAATTTTACTTTCCCAGCTCTTTTTTTGACTGATTATTTTTACTTTCCCAGCATTTTTTTGACTGATTGTCATACTTTCCCTGCTATATATAGCAGAGGGAAAGTATGACAATCAGTCAAAAAAAGGCCCCACACAGATTTTTACATTTTTTGGATTGAGAGGACTCTTGAAATGTCAAGAAATGCAAAATATTTGGAGATTTTTTTCTATGTATGGATGTTAGTGTATGTATGGGGCATGAGTTTGTTCACCCCTTTTGAAGCTTAATAACTCATGTGTCTTTTGTTGAAAATTTCTGAAATTTTGCATGGAGGTTTATATATAAGGGAGATTGATGCTATTAAATTTTGATGGTTAAAGGTCAATTGGGTGGGGAGATAAAGGGGGTAGTGTCATATCTTGAGTAGATAAGACTTAATGACAATTTTATTCATTATTAGAATTCCAATTTTTTTTTTTATAAAATCCATTTCTACTTTCAAAATTAAACTTTTTGCCATTAAAAAATATAATAATAAAAAATATAAAACAGTTTTAAATAAAATAGAATACAACATGGAAATTATTGATTGTCTTCACTCTGATGTGACGATTCACCTAGATCAGCTGCATCATTCAGATTCAAACTGTGCTATGTTTCACTGTAAGGGACCCACTTCTTGTAAAGAGTCAGTCTTCTTTCATATTGAATTCAAAGCTTTTTAATCACATATAAGTAGATTCACACTTTAGACGAAAACTTTTAAGTGTTTTATGATAATAGAAATACAAAAATTACTAATGTGATATTCTTTTCAATAAACACAAAAAACAAAATCTCTTATTACAGAATCACATGAATGCTCACAAAACACAACAGTATGCTAGGAACACATGTATGCAAGCTAGGCCTGTCAATCGAATTAACTAAAAGGAGTCCTGAGGGGTGTTCAGGTTGGTTCATGGAAGAGTTGAATTCATCATAAAGGAGGGGAGGACAGATTGGAAAAATATACATTTTTCAAGTGAAAGGTTTCAAACACAAATGCATTAAATATAATATTTAGACAGTATTTGAAGAAATTTAGAGGACTAACCTAAGAGGACTAAATTTAGAGGACTAACCAAGAATGGACTAACTAGTCCATTCTTGGCACACCATTATTAATGGTATTCAATTCTTTCCATTTTTTCTTATTTTAGGAGTCCTATGTAACTTATATCACATTTGGAAACATTAAAATTTATTATCACATAATTTTCTTCTTACTTACATCATATTTGTTTCCATTCTTATTTCATCAGTTTTATTGTTCTATCAAATAATCAGTAAATACAGTTACATTAATTTTACTTCTTGAAATACAGTAAGAGGTCTAACTGAAAATATGTGAAGATCATTGCTCCAAATTTTTGAATGCTCTCTTAAAGAATATACAGAGTAAAAACAAATAATTACAGTACCACTAAATAAGGTCATGTAAACTCTGAAATCTGGTTGCTAATTGCTTCTTGCTTTGTATCCATGAAATGAGGACATATATGTGCTGTTTGTTAAAATATATTTTATGATACCTTTTTTAATATGTTAATGCTTCCCATGTGTGCTCAATAAAATCTGTTCATTATGATTCTGTAATAAATCTTTTAATTATCTGTTTATTAGAAAATAGATCAATGGAAGGTTTCACAAAATTTCAAGGAAATGTAGAGTCCTGTTGCCATGTGTCTACATACTATAAGATTAAAGATAGATCCTTATCTTTCTTAGAATACAGATTTGTTATACACACTGCTGCTCTGAAAATGCTGCCAACATAATGTTCTTTTAAATGGACTGCTCTACTATCTGGTACTTTGTTAACAGCAATCCTACTAATGCAAAGTAAAAAATTGGGAAATATATATATTGTCTCAAAGATTAAGCCATGCATATCTAAGTATATATTGAAATAAGGTGAAATTTATATACAGTTATATGTTCAATATTTATTTTTTAAATTTTCAATTACTGTATTTATAATTTTTATTGAAAAATATAAATTACACAAATTTTTAATAAACGATTTACTGTAAAATATAGTTCTGTATAATAATATCGTAACTGATAATCTGTTTTTATATTGACATTATTTGTTTTAAATGTCATTGTTAAAGAAACAATAATGTTAAATGGGCTTTCGTGGTATCGATGTTTACGTAAACGTCAATTAACACGATATAACCACGAATAAAATTCAGTATTGCAAAACTAAGCTTATTTTATATCAAAAACACTTGCTGATGAAAGAATAGAGGATAGAGATTCCATAGCGTGTATTATCTGTTTAGTAAAGCCCAGAATTTTTAGTACTCAATTATATCGCGCTTTTTTTTGTCTCCCGACAAGTGCGATATAACGAGGGACTACTGTATTAGTAACACAAGACTAATTACAGTCAGTTTAATATTTAGTTGGCTATTCGTTTCATTAGGCTAATTGTGACATAAAATCATCTGGGCTCAGAAGCAACTAGTTTTTTTCACAGTCCGACAACGTTGTCCAATGACATGAAATTTTTTAGAGTCAAGTGTCTTTCCATTTTACACCAGACGTTTGATGTTTAAACATTATTTGATCTACTTGTATGGCTGTGTGTAATAAAGCATTTCTTGCTAAAATGTGAACTAAATTATATGGACTCGTATTCAAATTCATAAACATGCATTCATATGAACTTTTAGCAAACACAGTTCTAAGCCAGTAGCCGATATATATCCCTACAAACTAACTGCTTTTTTGGAAATTTCACATTGGATTTGCAGCATTGGGGATTGAAATCGTCTTTTGGTTGATTGTATACAGCTTTCTCTGATGGCCAAAATTGTCATAGAAAGTAACTTTGTCGCTCCATACTATTTTTGTTAGTCTTACATTATCAATGTAGATGCTATCTTTCCCCCACAGAACCCGCCTTCTAGGTGTGCTTATAAGGTACGATTTAACTTTTGGCATACATGATCGGAACTCCCATTTCCTTCAGGCAACGAACTGTTTTTGCTCTGGAGACAGTTAATTGCAAATCATCTGCTACATATAATCTTCCTCATTATTCTATTAACTTGTGCTGTTGTTTTTCTGTTCTTCCAGGACGTTCTTTAGAGTTTCTGATTAACGTGCATCTTCTTTAAATCTGAAGCATATTTAAGATTCCGTTATTCGGACGGTTACTGCTATTTCTTTTAATGTTTTGCCAGTGGCACTTTTTCCTCCCATTAATTTGCTTAGTTGTATTAAGATACATTGCTAATATTCTGTTCACTCTTCTTATTATTTTTAGGAGATTATCTTAATCTTCTAATTGCTCTGAGCAGTAAAGGGCCTAACCACAAAAAATCTTCTAAATGCTTTTTTCTAATTAAATTATTATTAATATTATATACTTTAGCAATTGAATTATATATATATATATATATAATTCAATTGCTAAAGTATANGTTCATTGATGGCGCATATAATTGAATTGTCGTATACTGAACAAAAGTCGTATATCGAGCAAAATTTGTTTCGTCCAAACAGGACGTATTCTAAAGCAGACGTATAACAAGGTACCACTGTAGTTTTATTTCATTTTGAAAATTTTTTTAATATTAAAAATATAGTTAATCATTCTTAGATGATTTTAAAATATTTCTGAATTAACAAGTAATTTTTACAATATATGCATAAGTTAGTTTAACAAATGCAAGTTTATACAAAGATCTTTTTGATAATCATATGTAAAATTAATGACAAGATTTTAAGTCATGTTTTTGTAAAGTTGTGAGGAGTAGAAATTTTCAAAATACAAAGCATGGACCAAGGTATAATCTTATTAATTTGACATAGGCCAAGTTATAATCTTATTAATTTCAAGTATTTGAGTTAACATTGGAAAGCTAAATGTGCAACAGATATTTGCATCTATCAGCTACCATGTGAGACACTTGACACCTTATGTGCATTTTCATCTTCATTGCAGAGCATGCTGAAAAAATGAGTGACATTGGCACTTCATTTCGTCAAAGGACTCTCATTGAGTTTCTCATGAAAGAGAGCATTCCTGCAATAGAAATTCATTGACATCTGCAATGTGTGTATGACAATGGCTGAGTTTAGCAGACTCAACCATGAAACAAAATGCCAGAGTAAGGAATGGTGACACAAACAATTTCTTTAGTTGGTAAAATTATGGAAATTATGTTTTGGGTTGCCAAGATATGTATATTTGTTGATTTTTCTTCCCAGAGGAATCATTAATTCCTTCCATTATATGGAGTTATTATTGAGGAAATTGAGATCAGCCTTGTGTGACAAGTGCATCATCATCTTACAACATGATAATGCATGTCCTCACCCAACAGGATGCAATTGAGAAGATGGGTTGGGAAGTGTTGCTTCTTCCTCTCTACATTCTTGATCTTCCCTTGTTGAACTTCCATCTCTTTGGTCCACTGAAAATGACATCCTATGAGATACAAGGTTTGAAGACAGCAATGCTATCAAGGTAAAGCTTCTCATGTGGTTTGCTGGAATGAACTTGTATTGAAGTAGAATCTTCAAACTGGTAGAATGATAGCAGAAATGTGTTTCCTGTACCAGCAATTACATTGAAAAGTAAACTTTTGTAGTACATATTTATTACCATACCATACACAGCATTAAAGTTGGTGTAATACAGTTCATGTAATTTGACTTGGTGCAAGACTTTTACATATGCTTATATTTAACTTAACAGTTTAAGAACTCCTTTGAATTTGTTGAATTAAGTTACATTCTTTATTGCTAATTTGAAAGAGTTAATGAAAATCAATGTTTTTTTCTGTATTATTTTAAAAATATGCATGTATAATGTATTATATACATGGCAATATTTTTAACTAAATGTCATTTCATGATATATATTTATTAAAATTTTTAAATAGTATATGTAATTTTTCAAATATTACAGAACTTTATTAATTAATATATAAAACTTTGAAATTTTCAGGATTGTGCAGGTGTTATTTTATATTGTGCTGAAAAGGCAACACAAGTAGCTTTAGATGCAGTTCAATGTTTAGGTAAGTTTGTTTTAATGGCTCAATAACAGTTAAATCAATGAGTAAAATCAAATTATTTAATTTGCCATTATATCAATTTAAATTTGATATGTTGATTTGATATATAAAAATATTTATCAATAGTAAGCATGCTTTAGTCTGTCAGTTTAATATAGAATCAACATTTTATACTTTATTTTTCTGCACAGTGTGTCCAAAATGAGATCAACAAAGTTAAGTGGTTATAAAGGACACCATTAGGGTTTCTCAAACGAGATCCCAGTTGTTTTTTTAACCCGGGAAATCCTGCAAATTTCTTAAAAATTCACTTTTTTCTTATTTTGTGTTAAGATTGAGGAAATTTTGCAAAAAGAAAGTATAATTAACTCACAAACTGTCAGAATACATTTGTATTTAGTAATTTTAAACCTACTTATTAGTTTTTAATTTTTGTTCGTTATGGCATGTCACAAATGGTCAATAATCAGTACGTAGCTTATTTGTGGCAGGACTCTGAAAATTCTTTATTTGTCAGAACCTGTAATATCTGGAACAATTGTGCTTATGCTGTTTTAATTTTTAGCCATGCCTGTAGATTCGATAACTGTGTAACACCAGGTTATGCAAATTGGGCAAGGATACAAATGAATATGAAGTCTTGAAGTATGAAGTTTTTCTTCATAAACCTGATTATTAAAGCCAAACGAATTGCCGAATTATCAGGCTATAAGCTTGATGCTGCTATTAAAGCAGCTGAGGTAGACAAATCAAGAATACTAGACAGCAAAAGAAGTACTACAATCTCGAAAACGAACTTGAAACTTCCAGGCTACAAGTGAAGAAAAAACATATAGCATCTGTCTTCTCTTAAATGCATTAAAGACAATTCCATTAACATCAATTAAATCGGAAAGTGCATTCTTGGTAGTGGGACTTTTCATTACTAAAATAAGAATCAGATTGACTGATCGGAGTATTGACCATTTTTGATTTTTAAAATCTTATAAAAAATTTACAATAATATTTTGTATTATGTTTTATTTAAAAAACGAAAATTACCTTTTAAGTTAGAAATTTGATCTAAGTTCATTTTTTTTAAATTTTCAACTCGATTCAAAGCATTTTGTTGTTGTTGTATGCAGTTTCCAGCAAACTTTAATAAATTTTTTCTATTTGTGAAAATTTCTACATAATTCAAAGGTAATTTTTAATATATATATTATACAGTATTATTAATATGATTTTGGAGGTTGCAGAACGTATTAAATTACTTTAAAAAATGAAAAATAATTATATCATTTGATTTCATGATATTTTGTATATCTTAAAAATAATTAATTCTGTTCTGGGATTTCCCAGAATCCTGGGACAAGCAAAAGACTGGGAAATGAGAAACCCTAGACACCACAATCAATAAACCCATTCACAAATGAACTATTTTGGCACCACAACAAATTTACAAATATGTCAATAATTTGTACAGTCAAAGTAAAACATTGTTATCATATCTTAAACTAAATTTACACAATTGCCTTGGCTATGGGTTTTACATAATTTAAGCAAAGTATTTTATAATAAATAACATTGCAGATAATGTAATTATAAATACTGCTGATACAGTAGAAGCCTTGAAAACTCGGCACTCGATAACTCGGCCACACCCTGGCAGGGCAAAAATAACCTTAGATAATTAATTTTCATCATAGACAGCTTTATGCCTCATAAAGTATTTTTCTGAGGTCTGTCTTATCAGGTAAATTACTGTACACTATGTATTCATTAATTTTCATTTTCATGTAGTAAAGGCTCTCTGCCTTCATAAAGTACGTACTTTTCCTTTGTTTAAGGATATTTGGGCAGTTTATTCTCTGTTGTATTCTCAAGCAAACAATACATACAAGTACAGTACAATATTTTCTGAGGAAACACGCATACTTATCCTTTTTTAACCCCATTCCC